CCTCTTCTACAGATCCCCGGCCCTGACCCTTCTGCTTCAGATTTGCTTCCCACTCAGCTGCCTTGGCAGCCGGGAAAGGAGAAGGGGGAGGCCCTTGCAGAGATGGGTACTTGGAAGAAATAGGAAGATCACTGCTCTTGCCTCTCTCCTTCCTGCTCCCCCCTGCCCCACCCCACAAGGTTTGCTGTTTCGCTACAACTAAACTTGAGAGTTCTCGGAGAATTTCAATTTGGCCCAAGTCCTCTTTGTCCTCTGGAGACCTCTCGTCTGAGACAACACATCGCCCCAAAGTGAATTCCTGTAGCATCACTGCCTCTTTGGTGGGAAAAAGGAGGGGCTGTAGGACTGGGGGGAGGGAAGTGAAACGCTGCCGCACTCGCCCCTCTTTTTCTCCCAGTCACTCGTACGTCTTTTCATCCTCAGGTTCTGCAAAATACTGAGGGAAAGTCCACGGGCTAACGGCGGGCGCTGTCGAGCGCGGGGAGGTGCTGAAATGGCCCGGGTGCTCTGGTCGCAGCCTTGATTGGCAGAGCCAGCCGGTGACTGACAGGGGGTCTCCATGGCGCCCGCGCCGCCAATCCGCCCACCCCAATAGCGGCGCCCGCTCGTCCGCCTGCGTGTCTGAGCCGAGCCGAGCCGAACCCCGAGCCGCCGAGCTCGCACCTCCTCCAGTCGGGGTCGCTCGCTCCCGGCCGCTGCGCCACCGCCGCCGCCCGGGTCGTGTGTCCCCGCTGCCCCAAGTCGCCTCACCCAGAAGAGCCTGGCGCACCCGGCCGGGCCCGCGGGCATCTGCTGCGTGTCCCGCTCCGGGCTCAGTGCTCCCGCCGCCGCCGGCGCTGCCTCGATGTTCCAGCTGCCCATCTTGAATTTCAGCCCCCAGCAAGTGGCCGGGGTATGCGAGACCCTGGAGGAGAGCGGCGACGTAGAGCGCCTGGGTCGCTTCCTCTGGTCTCTGCCCGTGGCCCCGGCGGCCTGCGAGGCCCTCAACAAGAATGAGTCGGTGCTGCGCGCGCGAGCCATCGTGGCCTTTCACGGTGGCAACTACCGCGAGCTCTACCATATTCTGGAAAACCACAAGTTCACCAAGGAGTCGCATGCCAAGCTGCAGGCCCTGTGGCTTGAGGCACACTACCAGGAGGCGGAGAAGCTGCGCGGACGGCCCCTGGGGCCGGTGGACAAGTACCGCGTAAGGAAGAAGTTCCCGCTGCCGCGCACCATTTGGGACGGCGAGCAGAAGACCCACTGCTTCAAGGAGCGCACGCGGCACCTGCTGCGGGAGTGGTACCTGCAGGACCCGTATCCCAATCCCAGCAAAAAGCGCGAGCTCGCCCAGGCAACCGGACTGACCCCCACGCAGGTGGGCAACTGGTTCAAAAACCGCCGACAAAGGGACCGGGCGGCTGCAGCCAAGAACAGGTCGGTACCTAGAGGCCTCCGTGCCGTGCACCAGGGTGCGGGAGGGTGAAGTGCCTTGGCGCCCTGAGCTGGTACCTAGAGACTCCGACTCAGCAGGAGTTGGGAGCAAGCATGGTTTGTCTTGGGTTCCGGGTCCTTGGGTCCCTACCCTTCTGGTTTTTGGCGCCCAGGGTGGCTGCCGCGGCTGGTCCCGATTACCAAACCAAGGCTTCACTGGGACAGGGAGGAAAGAAATTAAAATTAAAATCCCAGATACAATTTGGAACCTTAACAACCAGAGCTGATTCTTGTCAGCCCGGGCATATTACTATGAAGTGAAGCCTGGTTTATTGGCAACATGTCAGTTTCATGTCAATTACAATTTTTTTCAAAGTCCAGGAGAATCTCTAACGCTTTGAAAACAGTTTCCAAAGGACTCTTGCTTCTAAGAAGTGGCAAGTTGAGTTTTCCTCCTCCCACGCGTGGACAGCCTCGTCTTAACACAGTAAACTCGTCGGCTGAGGCTATTCCTTCCCCCCAGAGTATGGATCTCGATTCGCCAAACATCTTGGCCAAGAACACGGCCTCACCCCCTAGGCCCAAAAACTCTGTTGCAATTCTTTTTGCATTTAGCTCTGGCCTACCGTCCTCGGGGGCACTGACTCACGCATACGCCCAGGCAGGCGATGCGCCACTGGGAGGGGGGTCCCAAGCCCAGAGCCTGGTGCATCCTTGTCACCCATTCCTCGGCTATTTCCCAAGAGTTCTGTAAATCTCTCAAAGGTGGGCACCAACGGGAAAGACCCTGCGAATCCAGCACCCCAAAGGCTGGGAGCTGGGGAGCCGAGAAAGGGTTCACACGAGGGTGGGGCACGCCTGCAGGGATCCGCGGAGAGGTGACCCGCCGCAGACTTCTGCCCGACCTCTGTCGCCTCCGGCCGTAACTGCTCGGGTCTGAGGACGAGCCTTGGTCTCAGGCTGGAAGTACGCGGGCGGGCCGGGGCGGGCGGCGACTGTGTTACGCGCTGTGACCCGTGTCCCCTTTCTCCCGTAGACTCCAGCAGCAGGTTCTGTCGCAGGGTGCCGGGCGGGCGCTGCGGGCGGAGGGCGAGGCCACGCCGGAGGTGCTGGGCGGCGCCGCCAGCCCGGCCGCCAGTCTGTCCAGCAAGGCGGCCACTTCGGCCATCTCCATCACGTCCAGCGACAGCGAGTGCGACATCTGAGCTGCCCACCCAGAACGCTCAGAAACAGAATCCGGTGTAACAAAAAAGAAAGAGAGTGAGAGAGAGAGAGGTAAAGACAGGGCGAGAGACCAGCAAACCCAGCGCCGGCTAAGCCAGGTGGCCAGGGACCCGCAGGCTCGGGTGGCCGCTTTCGCCCGCGGCCGGCCTGGCTCCACGGGTGCCCTTGGCCGCAACCACAGAGGCCCGCAGCGAGGCCTAACCCAGCGCCACGTTCTCCTCCTCGCTTTGCTTTTTCCTAAGGATTTTGCTGCAAAGACGCCTTTGGAACGCGAACTGCAAGCTGAGCGCCTGCCCTGAGTCTCCCTCCCATGGGTATTTCACGTCGAAAGGACGCTGTTATATATGTATAACTTTTGCTTTAAAGTTTTTTTTAAACAAAACATAAATATGCTGTTTATTTACTTATTTAAGAGACTGCCATGGTAGGTTTCTCTGTAGTTTGGGGAACTTGCTGTTTCTAAACTTACAGGCTGGCGCTGTGGAGAAGCTAAACAATAAAACAACCTGGTGGGCAACCTTTCTTAATTAAGGGAGCAGCTCTCAAATTCCTTGAAAAAAAAAAAATGTCCTTCACCAGACAGTCAGGGACCCTGTACAAAAGGTCTCAGGAGGGTCTTGACTGTATCTTTTGCTTTCTCCAATGTCTCCAAGTATATTTTTTAAAACAACCCATGACAGGCCCATGACCACTTCCCACATCAAATTATGAATATATGTACACATACTTACATACACACATTGCGATAGTTTGCAACCTAGAAATTGGCAACATGAGCGTCCCTATAAGGCAAGTCCCCACATCCCCAGCACAGGTAACTATGGTCTGTCCACTTGACTCGTTTTTATGAAGTGTCATGGCTTTCAGTGATTAATTTAGGAAACCAGACTCTGCGACTCAAACAGTGTGTCCTATTTAATAAAAATGCAAAACTAACCTGACACAGGTTCTGCAACAAGAAAAGCTTTCCATCTCCTTTGAGGCCGTCTCACCATACAAGAGCAGTAGGCACCCATGATCATGCTAGAGTATATACTACCTTTAGAGTTTAATCTTTATTAAAATAAGACAAAAAATGGTAGAGGAGATTGTAAATAACTAGGCTAGCATTCATCTTGTTGCAGAATCGGGTTTTAATCAAACGAATGACTTTCAACAAGAAGTATATAAAATGGGGGAAGGGGGTAATCGTGTCACATATTAACAAGGCTGCAGCAAAATGACTGGCATTTAAAATACCTGATCTCTGCATTAAACATGAAACAAGTTATCAAGGACCTCATTGTCCTGGTAATGGCTTCATTTCAAAATATTCTTAGCATTTAATTTTTCCTTGAACACGGGTGTCTGCATGCCCATACACCATACATACAGGTGCGTGCACACACCACAAAAACACCTACCACCTTTGCTCTAAGAAAGTAAATGCTAGTTAGAGAGTCTCTAATTTTTTCCTAGTGAAATGGATTGCATATTATAAAATTTGACATTGATCTTTAAATCGCCTGAGCTGGACTTCCCTCCTCTTCTCCCCATTAGCGTCATTTCCATTTGTCTCTCTGTCCTTAGAAGATGCTTTCTGGACCAGACGCCTGCTAGCTTCTTTATGCAGAAGTGTCAAAGTGCAAACCAAACAAAACTAAGCGAAGTCATGGAAGATAAAAAGCGGTCAAATGGCAAGATAGACAGTAGAAACCCAGGACGTGAGTAAGGGCTGCTTTCTGGTTTCTAAATCGCTTAAACAGATTTGGCTCATTTGGGCTTTATAAATGGTTGTCGTTGTGTACAGTGATCCTTATCCAGAGAATTCTTGAAAATCAAAAACTCCTTGCAGGAGAGCTCTAGATGGAAGGAGTGGGGAAACCTGAGATCAAACTGATGTTCTTCCCACAGGCAAGCAAATGCCCTCCTGAAAGGCTGGAATGGTAGAGCCCCCTCAAGACTCAATTTTGTTTCCTTGAGCTCCAGATAGTTACTAGATTGCCAATTAGGGGCAGGCCAGGACTCCAGTGAGGCACAGAAGGCACCGGGAGTGCCAGATTTAAGGAGGCACTCACTCTCAAGGTTATGCAAGTGCAAAGCACCTGGGATTGAGTGCCTCCTTAAATTTTGCACTCCAGATGCCTTCCTTACCTTACCCTAAACCTGAATCTGCCTGGGAGTATCCAGGAATCTTCAATCCTGTTCCCTAGCTCTTCCCCAACCTAGCTATGGAGCTGTCTAGAACCAGCATTTGGAGAAGTTCGTTGGCAATTTTTTTCTCTTAAATTCATGCTTCCAGATCCAAGAGGGACAGGAAAGAACCAATTAGTGGAATGATGTAAAGGAATTTGAGATTCTAAAAATTCCACTTCACTTAACAGTTCAAATGAAGCCTAAAAACAGAAGGAAATGTCCATTCTGTAGTGTCAATAAAATATGGTAGGGAGGACGCTAAAAACTAAGCTTTCTCTTTTCAAAATAACATTTAAGCCAGGCTCGGTGGCTCAGCCTGTAATCCCGCGCCTTTGGGAGGCCGAGGTGAGTGGATTGCCTAGGCCCGCCGGTTCGAGACCCACCTGGGCAACTTGGCCAGACCACATCTCTACAATAAATCAAAAAATTAGCCGGGCGTGGTAGCACCCGCCTGTAGTTCCAGTTACTAGGAAGGCTGAAGCGGAAGGATCGCTGGAGCCCAGTAGGTCGAGGCTGCGGTGGCCGGGAGCGTGCCACTGCACTCCAGTCTGGACGAGAGAATGAGACTCCAACTCAAAATAATAATAATGATGATAACATTTAAGTGACAATTGCTTGGAGAAAAAGAGAAGGTCAAACAGTGATGGAGGATTTTCTTCCCTCTTTGGTGAAAAAGCCTTTAAACTACATCTGCCATTTACTTAAATTAACATGCTGTCTATGGATTACATTTTAAAGTAGCAATACTGTTTCAACAATCTGGAGATTTATTTATCTAATTTTACTTTGGATAAGATTAAGGGGATAACAAATTGCACGATTTTTAAAATGTATATTTGAAACCTGATGGCACCTAACTGCTTTTGTGAGCAATCAGTTCTTTGGAGATCACACGTTGAAAATTAAAATAAATCTTCAGAGATTTATTTTAGCTTATTCGGTTCAAATCTTTCCATGGACATGCGAAGATTTTCTTCTTAAGATTTTTTTTCCATATCAGTTGCATCCTTGTCTAAAAACAGTTTTTCTTTCCTTTTTCTTTTTTTAAAATCCAGGTAGTAGCAAGGCTAAAGGTTTCTGAATTAAGCGAAATCTCCCTATGATAGGTGTCTTTTCTTTCTTCTCCTACAATTCTTCTGTCATAATTTCCAAAAAAAGCACTTACTAGAGCAGGGAGAAAAGGATTTTACATTTCGACGGACCTGACCAACGTGAGGATTTTACCCCAAGCCCCAGCTCAGGCTCTTTCAAGGCTTATAAATGCTTCAGCCACACTCCAGTTCCACGAAAAAAGCGATGGCCCCTGCTCCCCAAGTGCCACAGCTCCCATCGCCTCCACTTTAACGACCCTCGCCGCCTCCACTCGGCCTCCCCCCTTCCCTAGCACCAGTTTGTTTACAAAAATCCGGGAGGGAGGGGGTGAGAGGCTGGGATGGGGAGGGCTTGCTCTTTGTTTACATTAAACAAATGACAGGCAAAGAGCTCCAGCAAAGTCTTCCTTGACCTCGTTCTCTCTCCCTAATTTTAACAAAAAGGAAGCAAATCTTGCCTCCGAAGAGAATGTGAGCGGGGCGGGAGGAGGAGAGGAGCGGCCCGGCGCCCCATTCCGGGGGACGCGGGAGCGCGGACGGCTTCCGCTCCCATTGTGAGGCGGGGCCCGGGGGCGCCGGTGAATGGGGGGTCTGTGGAGCGGCCCGCGGCGCTGTCAGGCGGCTCTGCGTAATCAGGGCTAATGACGGC